AGGGACTGATTTGATGACTTAATTGACAAATCAAGAATTATTTGAGAATCTCCTCAGGGCAGTTTCTATTAACTAAAAGTCTTGCTTCAAGTTTCACATCAATGGAAACTATTGGAATAAACAGATTGTAGCCTTTTACTAATGGGTCAAGTATTACCTAAATCAAGACTAGAAATAGTTCATCAATAGATCATATTTTAGCCTCAGTTCAGACCTTTGTTTAGCATTATGAGCTCAGCTCTTTTCTAGTACTCAGTAGTGGCACTGACTGACAGGGTTCAGCCACTTACTGTTGCCAGTATTAAGAGAAATACAGTTATGTACAGAAACAGAAAACATTTCAGCCTTTAATAACCACCCTTCCTTTTCCTCCTCCCCCCCAGTAAATAGTCTGTGATGTGACATCACATCTGAACTTTGCAAAGAGCAATAAAACCTACATTGTAAAAATGTATTTTAGGAAACATCAATATCTCAGGAAAGACCTTAAAAAAATAGCTGTGTTATAATTTGCTTTACAGAGGAAGCTCATTATGACATTGTATATATACTTCCCTTGAAAAATACTGCATTTTATAACATTTTACTTTTATCTTAAAAGAGTAATTTTAATGCCTTATTTAAAAATCTATTCAGCCACTGGAGGAAGCTGAAGGCCCACATGAAAGAAGTGATGCAGTAAAAGATGCAAAGGTAAATTTTTTCTATATTAATTAACTACTCTAATCTAAGCCCAGAGATATAAAACTGCCTAAAACTGTAAGGCCTGTGCAGCCACACTGAGACTTTGACACACCAGGACTCATGACAATGACATGCTCCTTTGTAGGCATTAGGAGACTAAGATTCTCCAGAAAGTTAAGTCTTAACTTTTTTATCAAGAAAACTGGAAGAAAATGCTTATATATTTTTGTTTGTGATTTTTGGGAGCTATAGTTTTGGTTCTATCTTAATCTGGTTTGGTTTAACATGAACTTGTAATATGAATATAAGATGCCACATGGTACATGGCAGTCTTGGAGAAGTTCTCAATTTGTGCCCCTGAAGGCAATAAAATAAAGCTCTCAAATCATTGCACCCAAACTTTGCTCAAGTAGAGGAAGCAGTTCTAAGGCACGGGCTGCTCTCCTGAAGCCTTCATGTGCAGCCAGTGCCCAGATCCCTCCTGAATTTTGGCCACAGATATTCAATAAAATCTGCTTTAAGTGAGCTCAAGGAATTTTTAAATTGTTATTTAATTGGGGTGCTGGTCTTAAGTTACTACATCATTTGTGCATGTCCCCAGTGGTTTTAGCAGATGCCATTTTCTATTTGAGTATGAAATAGTATAATACACTGAGTAACTGTAGAACAGTAAATTTCACAGGGTGTCTTTTCAACTTTCCCTCTCTATGTTCACCTGTTTTGTAGAGCAGACTAACTTTATGTTCTGCTTTTCCTCAAACAATTTTGTTGTTTGAAGGCTGAGCTAAATATTTTCTAAATTATTACTTGCTGCCTTTTTTTTTTTTTCTTCAGAGTATGGAAGGTGATATTGCTGCCAGGTTGGATGCTGCTAATAATGACAGACTTACAGCACTAAAGGCAGTCACAAACTTTGGTATGCCTATAGAAGAGTTTGATTCTGAGGGTGAGTTTTCTTGGTAGTCATACTTTTGATGTATGTCTGAAACTGCTTCAGTTACTCAGTCCCTTACCATATTTTATATCATAATGTAAGTAAATATGCTCTCTTACTAATCAGGACTTTCTTTTCCTCTTAAACAGAGGCTGAAATCTTCCAGAGGAAACTTGATGAAACAACAAAGCTGCTCAGAGAACTTCAGGATGCTCAAAACGAACGACTGAGTACAAAACCACCCCCTAATATGATTTGTCTTCTGGGTCCATCTTACAGGGAAATGCACTTGGGTAAATATACTTTTTTCTGGTCATTATTGCAGAATTGATAAGTCCCCAGTTATATCAACTCCAAGAAAGCATAAAGTTCAAGAGCTACAGTGCAAAATAAGTGCCCTGTTTGGCCTAGAAGATCAAATTTTTTGCATTTAAAGCCAAATGAAAGTTTTGAACAGTAATTGCAAGTATTTCCTCTTTATTTGTTTATGTCCCTATAACTGATTGGAGCTTTCTCTAATGCCGTGGGGCAGACAGTAGCCAAACACTTCTAACGCCGTGAGTTTTGCAAGTGTCTTTGAACAAGGCTTATTAAGTATAACAGAGTTGTTATTGCAGGGACAGCTTTGGTGCAGGTTGGATCTGGTTACCGGTCTGCCGTGTCACACCAGCTAATATCAGTCATACATTCCTCCAGCAGGTTTGTGTCTGTACGTCACATATAAATACATGCACTTATCTTTTCTAGCCGAGAGAGTAACCAATAACCTGAAAGAACTTGCACAACAAGTGACTCCAGGTGACATTGTCAGTACATACGGAATCCGGAAAGCCATGGGAATCTCCGTTCCTGTACCTGACACAGAAGACAGCTGGGTAGATTTGACAGAGGGTGAGTATAGAAAAACATATTGTAGCATCTGTTCAACTGAAACAAAACCACATCTGCAAATCATTAAGACTGGCTTGTGGTAGAAATTGCAGTAGCATAGTTCCAGTTTTCACTTCTCTCCTGTTTAAATTCTGTTTCAAAGGAAAGTTGCTGTCTTTGGTCTCAATCCAAAGTTAATCTTTTGGATATATGGAACGTTACTTTACCATCCGTCTTACAGAATTGCCAAATTTTAAAGCTTGGCAATTAATTCAATTTTAGTTTTCCATTTAATGTGAATTTGCAAGAGAAGAGTTAAAATTCCTCACTGAAACAAGGACATTGTGCTTCCTCCTCCTCCAAGCTTTTGGCTGTGCACTTCTTTTGCTTAATTTGACCAGCTGTCATGCTTTGTAAGTTGACAGCATAAGTTCAACTCACCTCATCCAGCCAAAAGCAATAGCTGTTTTTGCTGGATTAGGGAGCCTGGTCAGTGGAAAGTCTCAGTACCAAAACCAGGCCTGCCCCTTGTGGCGCATGCATGGCCAAAGCATACTCAGAGTTGGGATAAGGCAGGGGAGAATTTCCTCTCAAGAAATGTAATTCACATAACAAATTTACTCAATCCGTGCTTTATAAAAGTCTTCATTAAATAACATTTTAACTGAAAGAGCAGATTACTTCAGGATCTTATTCACATTCTCAAGGAAACTGCTCAAGAAATTTCAATTTCGGAATTGTTGAGCATTTTCTTTTTCATAGCACTGCACCAGAGAAGCTCTGTAACAGAACCAGCTAAAACACAGGATTTTCTGGGACTGTTGCAGTACAGCTAACAAAGGACTATCTGCACAAATAGCAAATGACTTGAGGAGTGCTCTGCTGTATATGCATGTCTTTCACTTGAACTTTTTATGTGTTCAGTGACCTGGTATCTGTTGTTAACTTTCAGACTTTGAAGAGCCTAAAAAGACCATCACCATCCCTGAAAGCGAGTGTGGCACAGTTACAGGCTGAAGGTTCTGTTCCGTTTACAGCTGTTTGATTCTGTTTAAGAGCCAGGTTAACGTCCTTCAGGTGCATTCACCATGTGTGTAAATTGTGTGTTAAACTACTTTTGTTTATTAAGTTTTGGAACTCATGGCTTTTGAAGTTGAAGGGTTTGTATTAGAGTTACTTCTGCTACATAAATGCACTAAATTATTCTTTCTGTGTTCTGTATTATTTTAAAGCGCCTCTGCAGCATTTAAGTTTTCCTAGATTGTCAGGTGTCTGGAAAAGTCAAAGCATAGTGAAAATGTGCCTATATATTGTGCAGGGACTCAGCCAGAAGTTTCTAAATGCAGTGTATAGACTCTGAGTCTGGTTAGTGCAAACATCAATAGTATCTGAACATGCAACTTCCCCTTTTTAAAATTACTGAGCATCTCTCTTGAACATGAGGAAGAGTAATAAACTTTTTATATAAAACCAATGTAGTGTGATGAATTAACAAATGCTCAGCTTTGTGCGACTCTGAATGTGCATGAATCTCTTAAAGGAACCTCACTGTCTCCTCACAGTACCCTAAAGCCTGGGGGCAAGCTTAGGTGAGACCAGCAGGTGAGACTCACAAGGCCACCTGCTGTCAGCAAAACACCTTATCTGGGTAGTAGAGTGGACTCTGAAACACTCAGGTAGACAATTCTTCATCTTGGAGTTATTACTAGATACTGTCTGGGTAATGATTTTGGGCTTGCTTATGAGAAAAGAGCATATATTTAGAAGCCTCCTCACATTAAAAGCCACTTCCCTCTTCACTAAAGCTGCAGACAAAGCAGACCAACAGCACAGCTCTTAAGCATATTCTAGCAGCGTTACAGGTGGAGCCACTGACTCATCCAAGAAAGCTTTTCCCTGTGCTGATCACTTACTCTCACATCATCACAGTGATACACGTAGCTTTTACCACAGGCATCCTTAATTTTTAAATGTTGCTTCTTTTTACCCCATGGTTCCAGTATAACCTTGGACTTGAAGAGGAATGTCGTGTAGTGCTCCAGTTCCGTCTGATCAGCCATCACTGATGTGATGAGATATAACTTAAAGATAACTTAAAGGCAAAGCAGGATCATAAATTCCACCCTCTACCCTAGCCATGGCCAACATTGTCCTTACCCTCCCTTCCTTCCTCCTCTCTAGAAATGTCTGCAGAAACATTGCTTTAACTGGTTTTAAACTTCCAGAAGTCTTTTACCTGTCAACCTGGTCTTTTCTCCAGTAGTTTCAGTTGTCCCAGAAGAGTTCTTAATAGTCACCACTGGAATTTTTTCAGTTCTAGGTAATTGCAGCTGAAATACTACCCAGGGAATGAATTTTTCCATTAATATGTAGGTCATTTTCATGCTACAAGAAAAAGACAAGATGCACAGCAGCTGTGCCAGCCAGATCCTTCTGGCTCACTCCACAGCATCTCACTGCCCATCACCCACCTTTCATACATTGCAGGAGGTGGCCATCAATGGCAGAACATCAATAATTGAAATTTCTCCTCAGCTCTTGAACACATGGATGTCACTCTACCCATTTTCCACTTGCAACATTTTCTAAAAAGGTAAATATTGAGTTTAGTTTATAGGCAAAAACAATCCTGTTAACTCTTTAGGGCTGTGAGGAATATGCCTTCTATTCATGGGAATCTTCATCAAAATAATTGCAAACCCAAACATGTTTCAGGAAGTTTTTATTTCACTGTAAAAACAAAAGTTTGTTCTTTAAAACAGATGCCTAATTCAGATGTCATTAGCTCTTCAAATTAGATACAGTGCCATTTTTTCCATATAAGGAAAAAAATAATGCTGTAAGGAAGATATTTCTACTAAGATTTTTTTCCTCAATGTTAAGTTTCACAGTTTGCTCCCAGAAGGACTGCTGAAAACAATTACTTAAATACAGTTTTTTCTTAAGTTGAACTTTTTCTGTGGTTGAATATAGCTCTCATATTACATAGTTCCAGTTCTGATGAAAAATTAGTCATCCTCTTTTTTCATCACACAGTTTCTGACTTCCCCAAGTACACCATGCACAGCACACCAAGCCAGCAGTCCTTTTAAACCCGCAACAAAACCCATCTCCTTCCCCTTTGAAAGCTGCAGCTCTTCGGGGCACTTCTGCAAATGAGGTCGAGTTGAAGTTACGCCCAAGCAAGTTACCAGGCTGACAAGGCAACACGTAAAGGAAACCATTTCAAAATGCTGCTACAGCGAATTTTCTTTCATAGATAACTTACATCTACATTCTACTAGTTCTGTGAACAGAAGCACTTCAGAGCCAGCTCTATTTATAGGCATAATGCACTTTTCAAAATGGATTCATGAGACAAGTGGTCACTTCACCTAACAGGACATCAGACTGCTGAAAGGAGCCTTTGACACATGCATGGTCCCTATAAAAAAATAAATAACTATCTCAAAACAAATGCTTGCTGAGCACCTGTAACTACAAATACACAACATACAAGAGCAGCAAAAGCTATTTGAAAGTTTATTCAACTACAACACTGACTTGCACTAACAAGACACCACATACGATGCTTTCTTCTTCAGCAGAGCCCACGTGTGAACAAGACAACCTCAAACTAAGGTTTTCTAACATGCTGTTTTCTGTTGGAGAGCTACTACACACAGATTTGACCTACAAAATTGACAAAGGCTGCAAGCACAATTTTTAATCCACAGTTGGACAATATTTAGATTTGTTCCTGTCTTGAAACATAGTCACTTCATCTTCTAAAGAAATTACACAGTAATTAGAAAGCAGCAGTGATGCATAGGACTGCTTAAACACTTGTCCAAGGTGGGTCAGTACTAAATCCAGAAACAGTAAATGCTGCTCTGTTTGTAGAAGAGTAAGGCTTAACTAAACAGGTGTTGTACTCACTGATCACTGTGCTGTCCTGCCCTACTGTATGTGGTATGTGGGGAGGAGGGGAGAATCCATCTTAGTTAATACACATAACTGGGCACAAGATGTTAGCCTTACAAAATACTATCTCCACCAACAGAAAACAGATCAAGAGATTGCAGAAAGTAGAAAAATGCCTATTTAGAAATTAGCAAAAGCCACTAAAGCTTAAAAACTTTACAGACTAAACTAAACTAGCTTACAGTAAGTCAATTTCCATGATAATATGAATGCTCTACTCATACTTTCAGCATTGGGGCTCTGCTGAAACATTTCCATTATGAATATTTTCATTAGTAACCTTCAAAACCAGTTTGTTTCATAAACTGTATTACCTTTAAAAGGTACAGAAACCAGCCAGTGGCTAGTCAAATTGTAGAAATAAAAATTTAAAAAAAACCAAGCCGCACCTCAGACACAGTTCCGTTAATACAGTATCTGCTACTGTTTCTAATACTATCTTAATAATTCTGTTCTTCAGTTTCCAGCAATTCAGAACAGATTATTTTTTTCCCTAAGTGCCCCAAGAACACAGTCAGCACACAGAATTCCTGCCAGTCTCAGCAACACCAGGGGCTGTCAGAGCCTGTCTATCAGGTAAACCACAGGTGCCCCACACTCCTCACCATCCCGTGGATTTTTTGAAATTTAAAATCAAAAATTGTAAGACTTATATGTGACTGAATAAAATGCACTTGCAGATACTAAATAAAGAGACACAGAAGGAGAACATGTAATATAATGTAAACACGCTGAACTAGATGAAAGTTATTTCTGAACAGCTCTTGGTCACAAGGTACTTCTGCAGAGAAGGCACGGATGATAAAATGACCAGATCCTGTGCAATGCGGGTCTTTCCCCAAAGGGGCTCAGCACAGTTGTCATATGATACATTTGAGTTCATTTGCGTTCCTCTTCCCATTATTCATCTGTCTTCTGTGAATCTGTTCAGCATTAAAAGCAGGATATGCAGTGCCCACGGTATCACTGCACATGCCTGGCCAAACACAATACTGAAAAGCAGGTGTGTGTCAAAGAACCACGCAGTGGAATGTTTTAACATGGTACTGAGTTCCACAGTGCATCCACACGTGTTGGTACTGGAGCTGTTAAGACTCCCACAGTGCAGGTAAGGAAAGAAACTAACTGAAAATGCTTCGTGGCAATTCCAGGTAAGTCCTCAAATTATTTCAGGAAAAGGTAGTCTTTTTCAGACTGATTGTTGTGTGTCTTCTAGGAAATTTTCATAACTCTTCTTTATTAAAAAAAATTCTCTTGAGATGTAGAAGAGATAGGAACAGCATATACATATTTTTAGAATAAAGTCCTTCACATAAGGAGGGAAATTATAAGTCTTCACAGAAGGGAGGCAGTTCTAAGTCTGTTTTGATTAACTTCATCATAGCCTCAGTTCAGTCCCATACCTTGGAATTTGGCTGTCTCAGTGCAAACGAAGTAAGTCCTCAATTCTCCCTTGCCTTTGACATTAATGAGTCCCCTACATTCACACGAGTATCCCAACTCCTGTAGTATTTTGCTTGTTTCTTCTGTGACCTTTGTGTGAAAAGAATTAGAAAATCTTATAAAATTCTTCTGATTATTCACATTAAAAAAAAAAAAAATCCACAGCCAATTAGAAATAATTCCTCAGACATTCCAAGGCTCATAGGTTTACCTGGATTTTCCCAAGTTCCCCTGTGCTCTCCATTCGGCTGGCAACATTAACAGTGTTGCCCCAGATGTCATACTGAGGTTTCCGGGCACCGATCACCCCAGCAATCACAGGGCCATGATTGATCCCTGGATAAACAAAAGCAGGTGTCATTACTGAAGTAGAAAGTGATGTACACACAGCTTCATTATTAGATGTAGCTTCAGGGTCAAAAAAAAACCAAACCAAAACTTAACTCTGCGACACATTTCTGGCAATCAGTATCAGACTGTTCTATTAATAGTTGTACTGAGATGTGAAGTGACTCACTCCTTATAAAATGGGAAGTATGAGGAAGAGCTGGGGCACAATTCATGCCCCAGCAAAATTCTTCCTTTTCTACTATTGTTATATGGAAATAAACATTTGTATAATGGCAATACTGTCTTTAGTCAGCAGACACTAACAGGGTACTTCACTCCTCATCCGCACCTTTCATTTCCTCCAGACTCATCCAGCTGCAGTCTTCCTGCTGCTCCCTCCAGTGATGAGAAAACCCATCCGTGGAGGAGCTTGGCATATTTGAAAAGCTGACCAGACAATACTACCTTTGGCCCCCAGCACGTGACCTACGTGGTCCTATCTCGTGTCCCACCATGCCGGGCTGAGGAGCTCACGTTCCTCACGGACGGAACCTACCAATGCGTAGGCGGAAGTTGTTGAAGGAGTGTCGGTTGATGCCATCCAGTTTGCTCATCAAGGCAGTTCCATATTCCACCATAATCCCAATGTGGGCATGCTGTCTCTCCCTATCCTGTGCAAGTCAGAACACATATTATTATATCTATAAAATAACAAGTTACTATTCCCAAGCAGTACTAGTAGTGACCAGAGTACGTATTTATAAGGAGGACACCACTCATCCTTGTAACTGCAGAATCGCACAGCGCAACAAACATTCAAAATGTCTTTAAAACTACAATAAATTCAACTGGAATGGCTATGAGGCAACAAGTATGGCGTGATTAAATTTTATAACACATTACTATCTGTCCTTTAGGATTTCAGCTTTAATTTTACATGTTTTGGCTATATTATTATGTGTGTTTTAATGTCATACACAAATCTATAGTGAAAGTGAGCCCAAGTACAGAATCCGGTTTAAGTTCTTCTGGGTGACAGTTTCAGGCCTAACATGGCATTTGAGGATTCCCTTTTTGTGCCAGTTCTCAGGGATCACAAAAAGCTTACTGTCCAGTTGGTGGTCTTTTCTTTGGCTCCTGTTCTTTGCCTCCCCTATTATTAGAGCCATTCTGCTACGCATCTAGAGATGTTAAGTTACTGGAATCAAAGTTGCAAGGTGTCAAAAGTATGCTGGGGTTACAAACTTAATACTTTCTTTGGGAAAAAAAAAAATGGAACTAGAAGATAAATAGTGAATTCTTCAGGAGACAATACACTTTTATCACCTTTTTCCACATTTCGGGAAGTCACTCTTGGTGATTTACTTTCTCTTTTGTATCACATTACATTTTGTTACTGTGAAACACACCTACATACCCACAGAATACTAAAGGCAGATTTCAGAGACAACGTACCTGGTTGTTCTCCTGGCCTGGTGTAACACTGAGACCGGCTGCTGCCATGTAAGTGCTTCCAATCGTTTTTATTTTTTCAACACCACTAAATTTAGGTTTTAACAAGAGCTGTTTGAATGAAAAGAAAATAAAAACTGGAGACATATTTCAGTGTAGTATTTACCCAGAAATCTTACACTCTCCACAATAAACATTAAACATCTCTAGGAATACTATCACTGACACAAAGGTTAGATAAAGTACTGACGATTGGTTTCACAGTTTTGTTACCTGCTCACAAGAGAAACAGAAGAACTCAAGTACTGAAATATAGTCTTTCAATTCGAGACTTTTAAACCATACTTCTAATGGATTAGACGTTGTACTTGAAAATCCCTATCAGATGGGAATATATCCTTGAAGATTGCAAGGCTGAAGTCAGAATATATTAGTTTAGTGTAAAAATGACTTTCCCCCCTCTAATGCTCACAGATCTAGTGAAACATTTATTCTGCAGCAAATATGTAATCCAGTGCATTTTTAACAGAAGCTTAATTACCTCATCAAAGTCAGCAATGATTTCATTTAACAGCCGCAAGCATTCCAGGCCTTCTTTATTGACATCACATTCTGTGTAGAACACCTTAAAATCTGGTACTGATGCAAACATGACACACACACAGTCGTAGGATTGATGGTACCAGTCCTACAGGAAAACAATATATCCACACATTGTCAGCAGTCACGTTCCACCACAGGTATTCAAACCCATGACAATTGTTTCTAATCAGTAATCAAATCACATTTTCCCTGTGAAGTCAATCACAGCACTTTACAGTGGGCATCTCTTATTTTTATCAGAAACATTAATGAAGCTGTATTTGCCTAAGGAAAACCTGAGATACCTTACAGATTCTCATTTATTTGGACATTGCCAGACTCCTGACACACAGCAATATTCACTCTGATGACATGCTGGCAGAATGAGATGTCTAAAGAAAAAAATCCATGTCAATGAATTTGTCACCAGGGTTGCTACCAAGGAGATACTATCTATTCCTCAACTGATTTCTCTAGAAACTGTGATGTATCCTCTCTGGTAAAATATGGCCTTTGGAAAGCAGTAAATCCTTTTTCAATATTTGCCAAACCACCAATTCTGAAAACAGATTTCGGGGACTGCCACCAATAGTTGCAATTTTTTTTGAAGCTTTCTGGTTAGCAGGTTCCTGGGTTTACAAAGGTCTTGGGATACAAACAGGCTTCTGTGGGCTTGCTCACATCACATGTTATGTCACAGAGGTCCAATTTACTGTCCTTCACACAGCAGAGTCTCAACATACCTCATTTCGTTTTTCACCAATGAAATATGCAGCAACGTGTGCTGGAAGTACATTTTCCAGCAAAAGCCTGTTAACATTCTCCATAGTTTCAAATTGTTCATGTTCTTTTTTAAACTTATTCTTCCACAGACAATCCAGTCGACAGTAATAGTCAATCTGCAAAGAGACAAAACGTGATAAACAAAATCCATAAAATATCTCACTGAAAAATATTAGTCAGTTTTTTCAAAAAGCAAGTGTAAAGCATGTATTTTAAGAAGCACATATAAGAAGAAACAGAGTTTGTTCAAGGCCTTTTGAGCCTATATAGTTATGAAAGATGTGCTTTGAGAACAAAGGTCAGAAAAATATGAAGCAGTCAGTAAGACCAAATGCCATTTTGTACCAGCAAGTGTATTTACCAAAATGACACATTAATACTCTGGTGATTATTTTTATCTTGAATTGCTGCCTTGATTTAGAATGAATATTGACATATAAATACAGATAGATCCAAACTGGAAGAATCTGGAAGTTCTCACTTCTGTCATGCAAACACTATCGAAAGATATTAAAATGTTCCCATTCTTCCACAGTAAAAAATTTTGCATTACCTATAACTAATTACAAGTACATACACTATTTAAAATTAAGACCAGAATATTAAAATAAGATTAAAATATACACTAGAGCACAATTTCATGGAACAACACTTGCATTTTATTTAAACCAACTTGTTGCAAGTAAAAGGACTAAGCAATGGCGTTTTAAATACATACCTGTTTTGCAAGTAAAACAAGGGTTATGTAAAACAGAACCAGATATAAATTAGTCATTATTCTCGGCTCTTTGATGAAAAGCCTGAAAACAAGAAAACAATACAAAATCATCTGTATCCTTTTAGAAAACCTACAGGATTAAGGGTAAGGGAAGGGGGTGTCTCTTCAGACATAAATCACAACGTCACTGTTCATTTGTGCCAGTGGCTGCCTGGGTACAGGTCCTCTCCTAACAAGGAGGAAGGATTATCAGTCAGCCCAGCACAGGGGCTGCATTTCGTGTAAGGACACACTGGGTGCTGAAACCTTGTTAAGTAGCTGTTGTAGTGAGATGTTCAAGTAAATACGGTTTTACCTTAATGGAGCCATCTTAATTTCCAGTAGACTTGAGTTTCAGCTTCCACCCCACCCCAGCCCACAAAAACACAGCCAACAAAACCTTAAAGGAGGAAAAGAAACTTTCTTCTTTGTGGAAGGAAAGACAATTGTACCTGTATCTGAGACACCACTCATATTTTATAGTAAGATCAGTCTTAGCCATCTATTAACTTTTACAAATACAAACTAAATTCTCATCATACGAATGATTAAGAGGTTAAATTAAGAGCACTCAAGCTTTTTTAAGGCGTGCTGACAGCTCACAGCAAAATAAACTTATCCCAATCTTCAGCTATGAGACTATTCTGAGGAATCTGAGAAAGACTTAAAAATGAACAGTAAAATCTTTCCACATAATTTCTCTTAAGTATTTTCAGTTTCTGCAATTAGATCAGGTAAATTGTTGTTACTTTTCAAAATATCTACACTTAGAAAGGTAAGTACATGAAGGTCACTATTCTATTGAAGCATTAGACTTTTAGCAAGGCTTTTCTTCATAGCTTATCAGAAAAGCAATCTTATTATGAGATTAATAAGACTCTCTCATGTTTAAAGTAAGCTAAATATTCTAGGGATCCCTGAAGCCACATTACAGGTTTTTCTTCAGAAAACACACACTTTGTTTAAAAAAGAAAAGAAAAGAAAAAAAAAGGTGATATTGTCTAATATGATTTCCCTGTCATTAACTTTACTGAAAGGTTTGCAGTGTCTGACTTACATGATTTTGATATTGCAATATTCCAGTAGGTGTACAAAAATCTAACACCTCCTTTAATGAAACATTAAATAAGAAACTTGCCACTGCACCTGGTGCTGTTGTCATAGAAGCTCAAGTTTCTATGCTGAGGGGTGTTAAAGAGGATGAGGTAGACAGTCACAGCAATGGACAGGAGAAGAACTTTGAGTTCGAAGCTCATTTGAAGAAATACCGAGCAAGCGATGAACCCCAATATACAGCAGTAAGCATAATACTGTAAAGGAAGAATTTAAAGAGCAGTTGCATTATCCAGACTTTATCCCTAAGAGATGTTCAAACCACACGAAATACTCTGAGTTTGTGGTCACTGTAATTTAAACAGTCGCTTGCTAAATACACTAAATACACTTATTTTTAATGACACTAAAAGGCTGAATTTAATACTTTTTTTTAGTTTAGTTTTTTTAAATTTTTAAGGGCCAACAGAAGGATTTAAACAGAAAACATCACACCAACACAAGCAAGCAATACCAGATAAAAACTGAAGAGAGTTGAGGATTTATCTTCTGAAGTCTATTAATTTAAGCAATTACTTACAATTCAAGACAGTGAATCAGCTCCGAACCAGGAACTCCAGCCTTCTAATCCTATTTTGAATGTGCTCTCCCACTGTAACCTTAAGCAGATACCACATTCCCATCCATTCCCCCCCAAGCTATAAATGTGAAGATCGTGACCTGTTATCCAAATACGGCTCCTTCATAGGAACTTTGATGCTAACAAGCATTCCCAAGCTAGGGTCTTTATCCAGTGGAATTACTGAACACTTTCCCAGAGGAATCCCAGTCCAGGTGTGGTGTCCCAGCTCAGGATGCAGCTGGCAGCACTGAAGGTGTCGGGTGGTACAAAGCGTGAGGCGCAGATGGGGTTGGTCCCCGCAGCCACAGGCACAGGTGTGAACTGCTGAGCTGGCACACTTCAGTCTACAGACTACTCCAAAATTGCCTCAGCTTCTGCTCCTCAAGAAGTCATTTCTCTTTACGCACAAAGCACAGTTTTCCCACCCATAATGGCACAGACCTTGCACAGGACTGTGAGATTCTTGGCTAAGCAGTTTCTGCTGAAGTGAATGAAGCCAGAACTCCTAATCAGGGCCCACCAAATTGTACCAACTCTGTCCTCCTAAAGGCATTGAGTGTAACCTCCAAAAGGTAACAAACACTCACCCAGAAGCCAAACCTCTGAAAAAGAAACCATTACATAGAGAACACTGCCACACCTCTGTCAGCCATTTAAACCCTTTCACTCTATCAAGATACTTTGTTGGGACACTTGCAAGTACAGCTCTCATCTTTCAGACTCAAACAACATCATCCTGTTCTACTGCTTTTTCCTTAAAGTCTTACACCTACTTTTGAGTCTGAAATTTTAAAAAAACTGCAAAGCCATCCTTTATTCAGCACGGCAACAGCAGCTGAACGATATTGATTTCATGAAGAACTTTTCTGCTGTCAGATACCTAAAAAAGCTTTTATACAGCAACAGAACTTGCCACTTGTAAGCAAATATACACAATATTAAAAAATATGGCTTTCAAAGTAATATGTATTCACTACTTACAGTTTCCTCAATGCAGGAATGACTTGTGTTTCCCAAAGGCTGATTTACAGACATGCAAAAACAAAAAATTACAGGATGAGCACAGTTTGATATGCACCTGTCATAAGCACAATAAAAAGGGTCCTCACACAATCTGCTGTACATCATACAAAAGCATGTCCATCATCTAAGGGGTGCCCAGGTGACAAAAGAGCATCCCAAATATTTGCATAATCTCAAAACAGAATACTACTTTGGAATTAAAGAGATAAAAAGGGGAACCCTCAGAAATAATTTCTTAGTGTCACTAGCAAGTGCTAAATTTACCCTTGCAGAAATGCTAGAGAACACCTTTCCAATGTGTTGAAAGACCAAAATAAGACTTCAGTTTTATACATGAATACTCCAGACATTTGAGAATTCCTGAAGGATGCACTGAAAAGCCACAGTTAGTGATAGAAAATATCCTTCAAAGCTGTGGCATGAGTAAGTCTTTGTGTTCAACAATTTAAAAAAAAAAAATAATCTATCTTTATAAAAAGTTGAAAATACATCAAAATGTTGCCATTCATCTATATTATGGGAGTTGAAATTCACTGATCCTTGTGGGTCTCTTCCAACTCAGGATCTTTTCTGATTCTGTATCCGCCAGCCAAGACTCATTTCATTTTAATCTTAGAAATTAAACAGTACTCTACTCACATCGGTAGTAGCACCCATGTCATTTGATCCAGTAAAGTTTGCAGGTTTGTTCTTCTCAGTAGTCTTGATTTATGGGGGAGGAAAAAAGGTAACACATCAACAAAACCACAGTAAAAGCTTGCCAGCATGTAGCCAGCGATTTTGAGGTTTTTCTCCATATTATACAGAGTCCTGACCTGGTTGCCTTTTCAGGGCTAGTGAATAGATGTTGAAATACAATGGTATCCCATGAAGTGGTATTAAACATATGCACACACAAGGTGAAAGAAGGCTAAAATTTACCAGTTCAGGGTAAAATTTTACATCATGGCTGTGTTAATCTATCAGCTATCTGGTACAAATGTGGTTTTGCCTCATCCCCCAGTTTCACAGCTGCTGTTCCTGTTTTCTTTTAGGCTGTCTCTGGTGGTGTTCACATGACACCACTGTGAGTCAATTCAAGGACCCAAGCCAGCAGGAAAAACACCCTATGAAAGAAAATTAAGCATTTTCTGCAGTATTGCTTAAAAGAGAGCCAAGCTCTATTCTTCTCTCCCTTATCCACATTACTACCAGCGAGTGCAAACACTACAGTGAACTGCTTAAAGTGCCCCCTGCCACAGCCAAACATTTAAAGGCACATTAAAATAAAAAGGACTGTCTTAGTGATGAGGGTTGCAATCAAGAGTCATTTTAAATGCCATCTTGAAAGCAAAAAAAGGTCTAAACTAGAACTCAAGTCTATCACATGTACTATCAGTTCCAGAAACTGAAAGGCTTTACACGACCTCGTGCATTAGCTGTAAATATCACACTCTGCGTAAATCAACCCATGTTGCAAATCAGACATCAGAAAAAGCAGTAAAAAAAGTTGATGCTTGATGAAAAGAACACAGGAAGTTACTCAAACCGTGGATGTTACAAGAAGTCATAGAATAATGTGATTACTTACCAAATTAAAAATGGCTATAATCAGCAAGGCAGATATAGTGATGACTGCTAAGGGAAGCCTAAGTAAAGGCATTGTTTCCACCTTTTCTGAGATAGCACAAAGACGGCGCAGGAAAGGCCACTGCTCTGAGCAGCACTTCTGTAAACAACATTAATTTGTTTCAGTAACATGAATAACACTGATACATGGGAAGAAATATTTCTAAATACTTTTTTTCTGCATGAGAATGTCAGGAGTCTTCACTGGAATCCTATTTTGAAGCTTTGAATCCAGTCATTGAGAGTCAGTGTCTAACAACTTTCCCCAACAGAAAATAGAGACAATGCTTCCTTACTTCAAAGAGATTGGGTGCTAAAATTCTCTGAATTTGTGCTTTAAAAATACAGAATTATGATCTGATTGAAAGTTCTAGAGCAAAGCTAATAAGTGCACAATGACAATTTCGGGGGGGGGGTGGGGTGTTTTTTGTGGTTTTTTTAGTTGTAGAGCTATAATTTATATTTGGAACACCTATTTCCAGATGACTAAATCAACACCAATCATAGACAATCCCCTTCTTGCCATCCTTATATCCTTCCATTGCTGCTAAAAACAGCCAGTAAATACTTTTAATGATTGCAAGCATTATTCAAGGATGCTAACCAAAACACTCCCAGCATAAAACTCAAGTCTGATGCAACTGCAGTCTTGGAATTTTCTTTTTTCACTCCATGTGTTTTTACATATGTAAAAACCACATGTGCATGCACATACACACACCTCTCTCTCTGCTTAGACAGATATGTAAAAATCCATCCATATACACATAAAGCCCCCCCCAAACATACATAAAATCCATACACCTATCTAACCATACTTTTAAATTAATCATAAATCTTGATTCCCAGCACAGAATGCAATTTTATCTTTTTTTTTTTTTTTTTTTCTTTCTTTCTCCTTCACACAAGTTGAACCTGGCTCTCTAAGAGACCATTTCTTTCCATGGCAGTTTTCCTGGGAGACCTCCATCACCCCAGCAGGATGGTGTGGCACGATGGGGGTGGCACGTTCTCAGCAGCACTTCAGAATTCCCTCCCACCCTCAGTCTAGCACAGCACAGACTTGATGAGTGTAAGGAACTCTCTAAAATCCCTTCCCTCTTGAACTGCAGAAGGACTTTTTTACTTTGTGCTGCTGAACTCTGTGTCACAATGGGCTGTGTTTCAATATTTATTTTTAAACAGTAATGGCACATATTCAATAATGCAAAGAAAAAGTAACTACAAATGCAAGTGTCCTAATTGATGTAATGGTGAACTTGGAATTCTAACAGCTCTGAAATTGTTGCCAATAAATTATTCATATGTTTGTACTTTTCATGACACTTTATAAATTATTATGAAAAATAATCTTGCATTCAAACTTATTTTGATTTTAACACTGTTTCCAGTATAGAAAATATCAGTATTTACAAACAAAATTACTATCAATGACAAACATAAAAATAATTTTTTTAAAAAAACAACTCTACCTCCTCCCTCTTACCCATCTATTCTGGCACCCAAATAATTCCAAATTACAGTGCAAATTGTCAGACATGAAAATGTATCTCAGGCAATGGAATCTTCTGGTAACCTGAGGTGCAAGATTCCTGTAACTCCTATTGAAATTAACACCTTAATTCATCATCCTAAAAGATAGACCAAGCAGCTCAATTGTATCCATCCACTTTTGAAAACAGGAAGCTTTTTAAAACCAAAACTTACCATACATTTCTCAGCAAAGCACAGAAATAAAATAAGCCCAATGATGACTGCAACAATTCCAAAGGAAATTCCCAGTTTTGCAGTTCTAGAAGAAAGCATTAAACAAAGTAAGTTTAAATATAATTCTTCTTCTAATAGCACTAGATGATCAAAACCTCACACAGGTTACTCTTGCACAATCACTACCTTAAGGGATTCTACCCCTGATGTCCCCAAGCGCTGCCCTGTGCATAAACCACATGTAAACTCCACTGTAGCAGCCACGAGAAACAAACATGTCATAAATTTCAGGATAATCAAGAATCTGCTTTCTCAGTAGTATGAGAAGAAGCTCAAAGTTCCCTTCTTGTAGCTCCAAAGACAAGAGGAGCACTGAGCACATTGTAGCCAGCTAAGTCCTGTTTTCCTACTGCTCAGTGTGCTTACAGCCAACTATTCTTATAAAATAGTATTTCTCACTTAACTGACCAGCTCCCTGTGTGTACTAAGCAAACTAAATATTAAAAAAATATTTATATTTTATTTTCAGACTGATATCAAGGCTCTTATGCCAACACCATGAATGCACTCCTTTATCACGGGGTAAATTAATCCTGAGAGGTTTATGTTTCTTGCATATAAACTCTCAGGAACCCCAAGAAGTTCCATGCACACGAGTTTCACTTTAGCTATTGGTTAATTTGAACTCTAAATAATTAAAATACCATCACTTACTTCGGCATGATAAACATCTGTATCACAAATATACAGAGGAACACAAAACTGGCACAAGCGAAGTAACTCTTCAGTTTTAGGATAGGAATGGTGCGATACTGAAACACAGATTAGGATAAGTGGTCAGGATAATTCCAGGGTGGGGCTTTTTCAATTCTATTACATTTTTGTGATGACACACATATATAAGTTCATACTGTACTGTTAATATACCTAGAATTAAAAGAGAACAAAAGAAA